CTTTGTATTTCAGTGTTGTCTGTTGTGATCTCTCCATTTTCATTTCTAATTTTGTTAATTTGGTTCTTCTCCCTTTGTTTCTTAATGAGTCTTGCTAATGGTTTGTCAATTTTGTTTATTTTTTCAAAAAACCAGCTTTTAGCTTTGTTGATTTTTGCTATGGTCTCTTTAGTTTCTTTTGCATTTATTTCTGCCGTCTCTGCTTTTTAATATGCTGTCTAAGTTGGTCATAACTTTCTTCAAGGAGCAAGTGTCTTTTAATTTTATGGCTTCAGTCACCATCTGCAGTGATTTTGGAGCCCAGAAAAATAAAGTCAGACACTGTTTCCACTGTATCCCCATCTATTTGCCATGAAGTGGTGGGACCAGATACCATGATCTTAGTTTTCTGAATGTTGAGCTTTAAGCCAACTTTTTCACTCTCCTCTTTCACTTTCATCAAGAGGCTTTTTAGTTCCTCTTCACTTTCTGCCATAAGTGTGGTCTCATCTGCATATCTGAGGTTATTGACATTTCCCCCGGCAATCTTGAATCCAGCTTGTGCTTCTTCCACCCCAGCGTTTCTCATGATGTTTTCTGCATATAAATTAAGTAAGTAGGGTAACAATATACAGCCCTGACATACTCCTTTTCCTATTTGGAACCAATCTGTTGTTCCATGTCCAGTCTAACTGTTGCTTCCTGACCTGCATATAGATTTCTCAAGAGGCAGGTAGGTGGTCTGGTATTCCCATTTCCTTCAGAATTTTCCACAGTTTATTGTGATCCACACAGTTAAAGGTTTTGGCATAGTCAATAAAGCAGAAATAGCACATATTACACATTCAAAATCTAGAAGTTACAAGATAAAGGAGGAGGAATAAGGATGAACAAGGTAAAAATCCAACAGAAGTTTTGATCTTTACTTCAAATGACACCAGCAGTATGCTAGACAGTGTGTACTTAATACATTGTCTGCAACCACTGGAAGGGATTTTGTGATCACAAATGTACTGGTCTATGATCTGATTTAGATGATGTAGCCCAAAGAGTGGACCAACGAGCAGTTTACAGCCAAAGTGCACTTCTGTCTTATCATCTGTAGCTACAACTACTGAGGAGGTCTTATCTAAACTTCATTCCAAGTAGTCATGAGATACCACCAGCATATAACTATCAATTCTAGGAGTCCTTCATGTAGGGGAGATCTATCCTCATCGTATAGGCAGAATAGATGAAAACTAACTTTCAGACCTTCTGGCTTGGGAGAAGAGAAACGTGCTTATTAAATTTTTCTCCCCAGGTCAATCATCCATGCAATTAATCTCATTTCCAACATTTCAAGCTTCCCTGGTGGCTCAGAGATTAAAACATCTGCCTGCAATGTGGGAGACCTGGGTTCAATCCCTGGGTCGGGAAGATCCCCTGGAGAAGGAAATGGCAACCCACTCCAGTATTCTTGCCTAGAGAAACCCATGGATGGAGGATGGTGGGCTACAGTCCACGGGGTCGCAAAGAGTCGGACACGACTGAGTGACTTCACTTTCTTTCACTTTCAATATTTCAAAATCTCTATCTCACTGCAAAACTTTGGCCAAATGCAAAATTTTGCTGCAATACTTGAAGTCTAATTTTTTTCAATTTATTTCAAAGTATTCTTGTTGATGACTTTGCTCTCCCAATGATGGTTTTAATATTATTCAAGTTATGCTTTTTGCATAACTTGGTGGAAGTGATGACCTGTGGTCCTGTCACACTGATTACAGATGCAGTTTGTCTTTAACAAAGCTACTGCCAGCTGTTGGAGCTTGGGATGCTGCTGCCACAAGTTAGTGGAGCAAATTCAGCGAAACCATTCTTTTGATATTCTTACGAACACATTTCTGCTTTTAGGCTATGATCTAAAGACTCATGGGAGATTTTATCCTTATTGTCAATGTAAAAGCCATTATAAAAAGTCTT